GTGTGTGTGTGTGTGTGTGTGTGTGTGTGTGTGTATTTTAGCGATGTCCTGTCAATATCTTGCAAAATGACTTCTCAGGGTATTTGGATTCGGTTTTCTTTGCTTGTTTTTTGTATCCAAATAAAAGAATAAAATGTGTGTAGGAATACCCCATCCGCACCGTGGAGGACAGACATAAGCTGGCTGCTCAGGGGAAGTTTGTCACCACAGAGTACGAGCCGTGTTTCGACGCTGCAGACTTCATCAGGGCCGGCACTGATATCTTTGTACAGAGGAGTCAGGTGAGCGTCCTCATCCGCTCTGAGCTCACTGCTCTCTCATGCTCAAGCTCCTGTTGACAGGTTTTTACTGACAGGTTACAAACTTCATGGGCATCGAGTGGATGAGACGTCACCTCGCTCCCACCTACAAGATCCACATCATCTCCTTCAAAGACCCCAACCCCATGCACATTGACGCCACCTTTAACATCATCGGCCCGGGGCTGGTGCTGTCGAACCCTGATCGGCCCTGCAGGCAGGTCAGTGCTGTGCTGCCACCTAGTGTTGATCTGTAGCACCGCAGCGAGACGCTCACATGATGGTGACTCTCTCCTGCAGATCGAGATGTTCAAGAAGGCCGGCTGGACTGTGGTGACTCCTCCAGCTCCTCTTATTCCAGACAGTGAGTACAGCCAGTTCTGAGCGAGTTTGGTGGCAAACTCTTCAGTCAAAGCACAACCTTCAGTCACATCAGAGCACCCAAACATCATTTTGTGAACAATTCATCTGTGCATGTTTCATTTAAAAAAAATGTTTATTATCTTCTCCAGTCATTTAAGGCTCTTAACATACACTTTTCAGAGCCACGCCGTCATCTCAACATCCAATCAGCAACTGATGCACAGAATCAAGTCCCGCCCTACATTTTTCTTTTTCAATAATTTGTTACACTCAGATGTCCATCACAATGCAGAAGAAAGATCTGCTGCTATTTCCATTTCATAGTTCACCTTCAATTGCTGCTGGTCCCCATTGACTTGCATAGTGTTTTTCCCATACTATGGAAGTCAATGGGGACCAGCAACTGAAGGTGAACTGTCTCTTTAAGGACACACAGCAACACAACATGCACCAGATTTCGATTAAAATCATGATCTGATTAATAAAAATAACTCTGTAGTTCAGATGCCCCGACACATATTCACCACAACAGTTTTGTATTATTTTGCAAACCAACATTTTTCAAATATAGCAATCCAGTTAAAACACTGATATACAATAAATTTAAGACAAACTTTTGTAAAAAGCAAATGACTCTAAATGACCGATTCACATCCTGAGCTGATGTTGCCAACATCTTACAGATGCATTAATAATATATTACAATTTTAATCAGATATTCAAACTACAACATGGAAATGATTAAGTAAAATAAATAATGTTTCAAATGAAATGTCATGTTGCGTGTCACCTGATAGCACTCGGTCACTGCTCTAATAAATGCATATTTCATGTTGCATAGATGATGAATGTCCATGTACGAAATATTTGGCTTAACATGAGTGTTTTCCGATCTCAGATCATCCGCTGTGGATGTCGTCCAAATGGCTCTCGATGAACGTGTTGATGCTGGATGAGAAGCGTGTGATGGTGGACGCTAACGAGTCGAACATACAGAAGATGTTTGAAAGTCTGGGTGAGAGCGCTGTTCGTTGTGATGAAGCATCCTCAGCTCTGATGTGATTCCTCATTCACCTGCTCTTGTGTGTCGTGGCTCCCGCAGGTATTCAGACCATTCGAGTCAGCATCCGGCACGCTAACTCCCTGGGAGGAGGCTTTCACTGCTGGACGACGGATGTGCGCCGCCGCGGGACGCTCCAGTCGTACTTCCTCTAGCCTGCCAGAGACGCGCAGTCCTTACTGAGCTCAGATCAGCATGCTTTGATCGCGCCGTGCATGTCAGGGCTTTTGCAAACGCCACAGATGAACGTGATGAATACAAACCTCAGTGATCTCAATAACGACTGCATCTCTGGCCGGCTGTTGTAGGAATGACTCCAGTGAAGCAGCCAGAGCCCCCCCCCCCACGCCACCACGACCACAGAAGAAGAGTTTCTACCTCCTGTTTACCAAAAACACAAAAAAACATAGCGTATTTTGAATTGTAATGACTTCTTATATAATGCATTTTAATTATAGATCTTTTTTTTTACCCTACATGTGATGTGCCAAGTGTTGATTTGTAAACTCAGGTATTTTTGTAGCCATACTTTGTAAGCATTTCATAGAAATGTAAATATCTATATGCATTTTAGTGGCATATACTTTCCCTTCACAAAAGTGTTTTCTAGCCTCTGCCTCTGATGTCATTCTCTATAGCAGGAGCCAGGAACGTTTGGCTGATTATTCGCGCTGCGCTTGTGCTGTGCTTCTCTGGTTAAACTTGTTGGGTGCGATGATCCTGTGTCAGGTCAAACCAATATATTAAAGATACACTTGGAAACCAGCCTGACTGAGTTAGTTTTGTGCTTTATGAAGCTTTACGATCAAAAGAGCTAAACCAGTAAAGAAGTGAACCACAACACTCGTGTGCCGCAGAGCATTGCACATATTCACAATCCTCTCGATGTATTTCAACATGTTTTAAATAAGTGATGAAGGCTGATTGAAAAGTGTGCTGGAGTCGTGTGTTATTGAGCTGCAAACCTGATTGTGAGTGTGTGTTAATCATTGACCATCTTCACCAAACCGTACATAATAAACACCCTTCTGAATAATACGGATCATATGATTTTATTGTATTGAGATGCTTAGCACTTTTCTTTAACATACAAGCACCGTGCTGAAGGTGCATTTTGTTTTCATCCATCATGCTGCTGATGTTTTCCATAACCTGTATTTTCAGTTCATGAAATCCAGATGACAATAGTTCTGCAAAGTTTAAAAAAGGATAAATATCTCAGAGTACAGATTTATCAGAAGGGTCATGTTTATTAACTCATTTTTGACACCGCTTTTAGATTCTGTACAAACATGGAGATCTACATAAAGTGCTTAAAATCCAGTAAAGTAACCTGAAGTAATGGACTTATTGAAAAAATACACGCATGTGGCCTTCTGCTTCATAGCACAAGTTCTGTCCAGCTGTATTTTGCTTTTTCCTCTTTATTCAGTTCCATCACACAAACATCTCAAAGCATGCAGAACAGAACAACAAGAAAACACAAAATGAACACAAACATAAATATATATAAAAAAAATACCAGAATAAAAAAAAAGTTCCATATATTTAGGGCAGTTAGATACATTTTAAAAGCTTTAGAATTTGTATTGTTTTTATAAGCTGCTAATTTTGTGATCTCATATTAGAAAGGGTTTCAAAGTATAAGGTCAGTGTTACAAAATGTAATATATGATGGTTTCTTTTAAATTACTTTTGACTTGCGTATATAAATCTTTGCTAAGATAATTAACAGAGTAATAATGTAAATCTGTTAAACAGAAAAAGATGGTTTTGAGAGTATTTTCCTCACTTCAGCAGTTCTTCACTCGCGATCCGCCGCTGACACATTCGCGCCGCTGTTGTTCGCGACGCGCGTTATCCCTCGTCAGGAAACTCGCGACGCGCAAACGCCTCGTCTTCTGTCACCCGGCGGCCGTTCGTCCGTTTTCTTCGTCCGTCCGCGTCAAACAGAGGCAGAATCGTAGGCCCTTGATTGACAGCTGCTCTTTGGCGAGCTCCGCGTTGACGCGCCGCTCCGGAGTTTCATCTAGCGGCCCGTTTGATGTCATAGATGCCGGATCGCGCGTCCCGCGGCCGCGCCCGCGAGGATGAGGAGTAACTGGCGCCAGTGAAGCGCAGAGGCGGCGGCGGGAGCACCATGAGCGGAGCTGTTTGATCCAGAGACTCGATAGATCCGATCGTCTGGATGATCTGACAGAGAAACATTCCTATTAGCGCAGAACGAGCGTCGCGTCGAATGATGGGCTGCGCCTCCAGCATCCACATCTCCGATCGGGTGGTTTATAACAGCGGGAAA